AGAGAATGTAATACTTTCCTCTTGTTATGAACGCAAGTGAGCCGTTATGGCCTCAATTGATTTTACTGCTGTGAGGTCTGTAAGATTTTGACAGTTGCAATGTATTTATCCCAGCTCTCGAACGTTCAAATTTTATTTTAATTATATGTTTTACTTCAGTTATCTATTGATTGACTTTTTACCTTTAACCCCCAGAGGCTGTGCGACAGCATTGTCTGAGGAATACGTTCCCAATTTTTCGCATTGGGTTTTAGGGATTTAGTATCAAGCGGCGCACATATCTAATTTTGCATGGGTGACTTTGTTTTTTAGTTACGATGTTGAACTTTGTTAGATATTCGGACGGTAATAAACAATCAGGCTCATAGTTTGATCTGCACAACCATTCCCGTCTCTTAGTTGTGACAAGAGAGAATGGTTTTGGTCGTGAATATGTAAAATAGGAACTTCTTTGCACACCTCGAGGATTGCTGTACTAAACAAAATGTGGTAACACTCACTAAGTAGTTTTTGCAGAAAAAGGAAAATGCACTTTTAAAGTGCACTTTTATTTGAATGTCAATGTATTTAGCACGAAAGTGCTAATTGGGGACACTATTTTTACGAGTCCTAATGGAGACGGGACCGCCATTTTACGTGGTCATCCGAGCCACGCGAAGGTCTATCCGCTTGCAGTGCAGAGGAAGTACCTTCATTTCTCAGTCATTTTAAGACCCTGAGGAATCGAACCCGCGACCTCCCGCTCTGCGGTCAAACGCTCTACCGACTGAGCTAATCCTGCCACGGTTAAATTAAATTGATTAATTTGGAACTCTGACATTATTCTGTGTTTTACCCATTACTTTTGTCTCTCTTCTTGGCTCTTCAAGTACCTGCAGTTCTATCCTCCATCGTTTTACAAGAACCGAGAGTTGTTGGGCTCTTTGGCGTTATTCAAAATGGCTGCTATCTTAAATTTTGCTGAGAAATTCATATACCTGTATATCTATATCGAAATAAAGTTAATGAATATTGATATTTGAGTAAGAGCGAAATAAGACTTGCATGTCGCTTATGAATTCATATATCGTAACCATAGTAACCGACGGTCATCAAACTGTACTAAACTATCGGCTGAACTATGTTCAAGGAATAAAAGAACAGCTACTAGAGATAAGAGGTATTGCCTGAAAAATTCTTTTCTGTACGTCCTATGGGCTGTTCTTCATTTGATTTACGAGAATGATGCGAGATGCGAACATATACGGTCAGCTTTTCCAATACAGGGGCTGTTGGAACCAGTGCGATCTGTCAGTCTTAGGCCTAACCCCCAGTAATTTTTTAGACATGAAAAGCTATCCTGTATATAGAGAGTGTATAATTTATAGAATGAACAGAAATTTATCCGCTATATATTTGACGATCTACTTTCAAGATCGTCGTGGTGCCGCTTCGCTCTGTTATTTAACAATTATTCCTCGAGCTCGAATGGGCTCTGAGTCAATGAGGGCGAGAGGAATAATTGTTTTAGTAAAATCTAAACTAGTTGGTAAAAAATATCGAGACGAAATAACTTTAGCTAGCAAAACGCGATTCAGCATCCACTGTTTTGGTTTTCAAATCTGGTGCTTTTCGATACTAGTGGGCTATAACATACCGTAAAATTCCGAAAATAAGCCCCGGGGCTTATATTTTTCAAAGGCCCTTTTTGAGGGGCTTATTTTTGGAGGGGCCTATATTCGGAGGGGCTTATGTAAGGAGGGAAATTTGCGTTTCAAAATCGATTGGGCTAGCTTGTAGTGGCAAGGAAATTTACCATTGTTGCTTTGTTTTACTTTAACTACTTTTGCTACTTTTTACTAAGTGCAAGCCCCCCGGGGGGCTTATATTCGGAGGGGCGATTTAACGGAGGGTTTTTTGCGTTACGATTTTGGGGGGCTTATATTTGGAGGGGCTTATTTTCAGAATTTTACGGTATACCCTGGTAGTAGCTCAACCAATCAGAACACAGCACTGATAACAGACCACTAGCTGGATGTTACTAAAAGCCGTTATAGAAATCGCTGCGAAATCACCTTTTCATTACACGCGCAAAAGCGACCCGGGTATAGTGAAGGTAAAGCCTTAGCAAGATGTCCTCCAAAAGACGACCATTACATGTAAAAATACCGTAATATTCTTGAGTAGTGCTCCATAGTAAACTAAACTGGGCATCACCCCTGGTTTTTTGCCTGATTCGCACATGTACAATGCTATCCTGCGAGCAGTGGTTCATCAGGTCGGATGCTACGCTTTTTCTGTTTTCATTAACCTTCAGAGTGGAGACAAGGCACATAACAGACAAAAGATGCATGTGTTTTATAATGGCAATTCATACGTGTGGACTTGGAAAAAGTGAAGCTTATATAAGAGCAGTACAGAAAGACAACGGGTCCGTAGATATCTGCCGAATCGACCTCAAAGTATCAATAAATAAATTAAATTTCCAACCATAACATCTGGGTAACATTAAGTTTCGCTTGATAACGAGAGAAAGAGAGATACTGTATTTATTCGAATAAGCACCCAACCTCGCATTAGCGCCTACTTCGAATAAGCGCCCATCCTAAAGGCAGAAAAAGTTAATAAGCCCCAAGCCTCAAATATGCTCCCAACCGGCTGGTGCGCCCACCTCGAACAATCGCCCACTATCAAGGTCCAAAACGGAACTAAATTGACGGCAACGACGATGATCAAAGAATGAAAAATCAAAACCCAGAAAAGTCCCTCAACGAAACCCATAAACATCACTGGACCAAAATTAACTCCAAAAAGTCCAATGCCGAATGAAACTTTAACAAGGGTTTAAAATATTTCCAAAAACGGAAATTGGATGTACAATGTCCAATGACCGATGTCTGATGTCTGACGAATCATGTCCGATGTATGATGTCCGATGTCCGAAGTCTGATGTCCGATGTCCGATTTCCGATATCCGACGTTTAATGTCTAATGTCAGATGTCTGATGTCCGATATCACACGTCTGATGTCCGATGTCCGACGTCTGATGTCTGATGTCCAATGTCCGATATCCGATGTTCGACGTCAGACGTACGATGTCATGTCAGATGTCGGATGTCTGATGTCTGATTCCGATGTCCGATGTTTGACGTCTGATGTCCAATGTTTGACGTCTGATGATGATACCTGATGCCTGATGTCTGATGTCCGACGTCTGATTACCGATATCTTATGTCTGATGTCCGACGTCTGATGTCTGAAGTCTGATGTCCGATATTCCATGTACGACGTCTGTTGTCTGACGTCTGATGTCCGATGTCAAACGTCTGATGACCAATGTCTGATGTTCGACGTCTGATGTTCGAAGTCCGGTGTCCGATATTCCATGTCCGATGTCTGATGTCCGACTTCTTATGAATGATATCAGATATCTGATGTCTGATATCCGACGTCCGATGTCCAGTGTCTGATATCCGAAGTCTGATGTCCGATGTGCGACGTCTGATGTCCAATGTCTGACGTCTGATGTCCAATATCCGATCGAATAATAACCAGACTGATTGTGTCGAGCTCTCTAGTGTTAATAACTATATCGTCTGAGTTAGTGTTCTAAAATATATTTTATAAATGATCGTTATTATTTGAAATATGTTAGCTCTCATGATTTGTAGATTATTGTTGGCGTAACTTTTCAAGAACAATTTGCATTAAAAATTAGGAGTAATGCCAGTTGTAAGATAAGCCTGTTATGGGAGCACAATTTGCCAAAAAAGGGAACATGTTCACAAAAACCCTTATTTCCCAAGAGTGAAAAATCACCAGTTTTTCTCCTAACAATACCAATACGCAATCTGAACCGAATAGAGTGTTTTCACATGACGTCACAGCGGCCATATTGGTGTACCAAAACAATGAAACGGCGGCCATGTTGGTGTCCCAAACTAGTCCCCTGGGAGTTGAACTCTTTTCTTATGCAAACGATTTCTTTTGTCACAATAAATTTGCATATATGCTGGCCACGTGAGTAAAAACACTCTATAGAGCCTGAGCATTAGTAAAATGATCATCTGATAGGAATTCTTGGACCTTTTCTGCCTTTTATTAACTTCTATTCAACTAATTCTTTAAGGTAATGTATGGAGACCAGATTGGAAACCTAAAATGCAACTTTACCTGAAGACTTTCAATAAGTTCATTTTATGCCTAGTCTCTCTCGCAGCCGTTTTAAGTCTCTGCGAGGAAGACTTTTTTGCCCAGTAAGCGCGTTTATTCTTATGTTGAACCGAGTGCTCTACATTGCAAAAGCGACGATTGTTAAGTGAACAGCAAGGGAAGCAGCGGTAAACAATCAAATAACGATTTCCGTTACGTGTACGTTGGTTATGTGAGAACTTGCTATAACAAAAGCTAAAATAAAACAATTGTGCCGTTCTTGGACAAGGCTGAAAGTGGAGATCAATGACACACAAAAATTGTGATGAATATACTTTCTGTCGCCACAATTGATTCGTAAAGGTATGTTTTGGGAAACACACAGTATCAACTGAGCCTCTCCTTCCATCCAGCTACCCTCCAAAGATTCCATGGGTAGTTTGCACTTCATTGTGGGCCATTGGTAACCTGACCTGCAGTACAAAATTCTGCTGAAATGAAGTTTGGGTGAGTGTATCGTCCCGTCATTGATGCCGACTGTAGCTTCAGTGCCTCAAATATCATACTTGGGAGTTTAATTAAGTACTTTGTGATTGCACACCCAACCAAGAGCCAATCACAGGCGGGCATTTTTTAGCAAACACCTGCTGCCAAGACGATAAAATACTAAAGATCGACACTTCAGAAATAGCGGGACAGGAACGTATACATGCCACTTACATTATCAAGAGGTAAAAGGGATAGCTTTCCGGTGAGTGCAAGCATTTGACAGCCACGCATCTCTTGCATGGCCCCTTTTTGTACTTCAAATCATGCCAAGTGCATTGCTAGGCCTCACTCATCTCAGTCAATTCTTTGGCAGTAAATACTTGAATTCAAAACCTGCTCTGAGCCTTTCTTGCTCCCAAAAGAGGATACTCCTCTTTGAAACTAATTACCTTTTAAGTTAACATATGAAGGAAACGCTTGGTGGCATTCAGAATCTTACAAGTACATTTATCTAAAGGCAGGCGTATCAAGTTTCATGACATGGCACACCCAGCAATGCATGTCTTGCATAGTTATAGCGCTTTCAATTACATTATCAGTATAATAAGACCCGGTGTAAGCTGAGTTTGCAATAATGTGGAAGAAGAAACGAAGTCTCCAGTTTCTCCTATTACAAAACCCTGACTGTAATAATATCGCATGACCTCAGAATACAGAAGACTTACACCCGATGCAATTATGAACAGCGAACAATGATGGAAATAAAACAAACACAATTTAAAGTGAACGGGACTGAACGGCCGATTAACTTACGCTGAAAAACGATTTTAGACAGGTATTTCATACTTGGGAGTTTAATAATTTGTAATCAACACTTAACCAAGAGCCACTCACAGGCAGACATTCATTACAAAACACCTGCTGCTACTGAAGACTACAAAACAAAAAAGATCGACACTTCAAAAATAGCGAGACATAAACGTACAGTTACCCAACTTACGTAAACAAGGGAGAAAAACGATAGATTTCCGCTGGTGAGTATATTAAGCAACTGACAGTCACGCGTCTCTGGCATTGTGCCTTTCACTTAAACAAAATTCCAAGTGCTTTGCCAGACTTCATTTATTTCAGGAAATTTTTTTGGTATATATACTGAATTCGAAATCTGTTTATATGGTAAGAGGATACTCCTTGTTAAATCTTATTACCTTTTAAGTAAAGATAGAGAAAGAAAACGAATGCAACTGACGTTTAGTGGCAAGCAGAATTTTACAGGCTCATTATTGAAAAAAGGGCAGGTATTTTTTGAAGACACGGCACTCAGTCACGTTTAGTGGCAAGCAGAATTTTACAGGCTCATTATTGAAAAAAAGGCAGGTATTTTTTGAAGACACGGCACTCAGTCATGTTTCGAAAACTTGTACTGCTTTCAAGTGTGATACTGCTATAAAATAACAGGGTGTTAAAGTCTGCAAGGATCTGCAAAGGAGAACATAAGCATTTCCTCCTATAACATCAGAATACAGAAGAATATCGAAGAATGACAGAAATAAAACGAAAACAAAACGATGGCGGAGGAACGGAACCGAACGGCCGATTAGCTTCACGCCGGAAAACAAGCTTAGACTGAATAAAGTTGAAATGGTATTGGAAGAGCATACTCTGCGTATATTTAAACTTAATGATAAAATAATGATCTTAGGACAGCTGTGTCTGCCTCTAAAGTCACGCACGCTGAGTTCCGGAAACTCAAAGCAATTAACAAGCAGCAGTTTTTGGAAGATATTCGTAATTCTAGTTTATATCGTGACCCTCCTAATACTCTTGATGAACTTGTGGAATGTTACAATAATACTCTAAGATCAGTATTGGACAAACATGCGCCAGTCCGGGCTCGCCACCTGAAGTCTCAGTCACGTCCTCCATGGTTTAATGATGAAATAGTGAAGGCGAGACGTGAAAGACGGCGTGCTGAAAGGAAATGGCGGGCTAGTCGGCTTAATTCTGATCTCGCTGTATTTAAAGCCAAACGAAATTTTGCATTGCATGTCATGAATGAGTCTAGACGGGCCTATTATAAACAATATATTGATGAGAATAGTTCTGACCAGGGAAGGCTTTTTCGGGCCAGTAAACGCCTTTTGAATTTTCATGTAGATAGGGCTCTGCCGCCTCATTCGGATGCTCGGATGCTAGCTAATGAGATGGGCGAGTATTTTGTCCACAAAATCACGGCTATTCGGTCTGCGCTGGATGCGGATGCCAGTGGCGCAACTTCGCTTGCTACATCAGCCTCAACGTGTAGTGAGTTTTCTGAATTTTCTCCACTGTCTGAGGAGAGTGTACGGAGAATTGCTGCCTCATGTGCAAAGTCGTGCGCCTTTGATCCCCTACCATCGTCTATTCTGTCCTTCTGTTTGGATGAACTGCTCCCTGTTATTAGGAAAATTGTCAACTTGTCTCTTGAGTCTGGCGTCTTTGCAGAGAACTGGAAGAATGCTTTAGTTCACCCCTTGCTTAAGAAAGCAGGACTCAAACCTATTAACAAAAATTTTCGACCGGTGAGCAACTTGCAGGTTACATCAAAGATCACGGAAAAGTCCGTGGCTATCCAATTACAAGATCATATGACAGCCAACAACTTATTTCCTGTCCTCCAAAGCGCATATCGGCAGAATCACAGCACTGAGACGGCGTTATTAAAAGTTAAAAACGATCTTCTGCTAAATATGGACAAAGGTCACGTCACATTGCTTGTTATGTTAGATCTCAGCGCTGCGTTTGACACCGTAGATCACGGTATTCTTCTGCACAGGCTGCAGTCCAAGCTTCGCCTTCGGGATAAGGCTTTATCATGGTTTAAATCTTATTTGGCGGGA